TTGTAACTTCTGTCAAAAATAGAAAATGGTATAAAATTAATCTTTTACCAAAAAATTTTTTTATAAAAATATTTAACATTATCTTTTAATATATTATTTATATTTATATTTATCTTAGATTAGGAAACTTAGATCAATATCATCGTTATATAAACAGAATGTAATTTATAATTTTATTCTTATGAGCCCACACAGCTGTGGTCAAGTGGTAGTTGAGAATAGGGGAAATGTTGGAAGGAACTAACCCAGGTTCGATCCATGCTGGAAACAAAAAACACATTTGTGTGAGAAGTCTGGGTTTGGGCCAAAAGGCCCAAGCAGTTTACCTGGTAGTCCAGTAACATGCGATCTGGCTACCCCTGACATTAGTCAGAAAGCATTCCAAACTCGGGACATACAGTGTGGTGGTCCTTCGGGGAGTAGTCCACTCTGAAGCACTTCGGTGCGTTTCTACCAGGGCTGACCGGATCAGCCGATATGGTTTATCAATTAACACGAGCATGTTGCTAAGCTTAAGAATTCTTTGAAAAGTCTTAAGAAGAAATTGAAGATTGAAGGCTCCACTAGCCAATAATGCAAGGATAAGACTTAAGAGGCTACGAAACATTTGTTTGTGACCTTGTGTAGCGATGATTAAGACATTAAATTGGAAATATCCGTCAAGTTGCGTCTGAAAAGTATGAGAAACACTAGTGAAACTGACTAGTGAAGACTTTTGTGGCCGTGATTAAGTCAAGTTAGCAAGGGAAATGTCCGAGAAACAATATTGAAATTGCTACTCACCACTCAGCTGTTATGTTAATGTTTTATATGAATCACCAAGACGACTACTACTTCTCCTCTATTTTGCTAGTATACTCATATTGCTTAATATTTGAGAAATACTCATCCATAAATCCTCTCCTGGGCATAACAAGAAAACTTAACAGTTACATGATTTAGAACATGATGATTGATGAGCTTAGATAAATCGTTGCAAGAATTTGTAAATAAAATGGAGGAAGAAAATCTTTGACAAGCATGAGGAGCTTATAGAGCTTTAAAAACAAAACTTTATTTTATTAGAGAAATTTTTTCTTTTGTTCAAAAGAAAAAAGAACTGAGATTGAAGACTTTATGATGTGTTCTACTTAATTATCCGTCTTCGTTTTTGTTAGGGTTGTGGTTGTGTGAGTTTGGTTTAGTCTCTTTTCCGGGTCTTCTCTTCTCTTTTGAAGGCATTCTAATGATTGAGATATCTTCGAGGCTCCTGTCTGTAACCTTTTTTCGGCGCCAATATGTTCTATGGAAATGCTCAGCGAATGCTTGTTGGTGAAATTTTTTTAGTAGTGTTGTTTTGGAGTCTTTATTTGTTAGGCATCTCCATATTTTTTAAGGTTATTTTCTCTTTTGGTTATTTGGCTCCGACAGACTAGATATTTCCGGTTATGTTTGTCGTTCGGGCTCTGTTTCTATTTAAATTTCGGGCTAAGTTTTCGGTTTATCCGGAGTTGTAATATGTTTAGTTTGGATGTTATAAAATGAGAATATTGTGAAAAGAAAAAAAATATATATCGAAGACTTTTGGAACCTCTCCAGTCAACATGTTTAAATAAAATTAAATAAAGGAATCAGAAAGTAAAATTTATCAGCATCAGAAAAATCCGAGAAACAATGGAGGAAATTGCTGCTACTGCTATGGGACATCTCTAGGGTTTCACACGACAATTGCGAGACCTTACTTCTCCACTTTGTAAACTCAATTACTCTTTTTTTTTTTTGGCGTCAATTACTTTTAGACCGTTCTTCTTCTTCTTCTTCTTCTTCTTCTTCTTCTTCCTCTTAAGATTTGTTTGTTCCTCTCTGTATGACTTCTTCTTACTCCTTTTTACACAAGTCGTCATACGATGTTTTCCCGAGCTTCAGCGGAGAAGATGTCCGGAAATCATTTCTCAGCCACTTTCTCAATGTGCTGGAAGGGAAATCGATTGTTGTTTTCAAAGACAACGAGATCGAGAGAAGCCGGTCGATCCTCCCGAAGCTTGTACAAGCGATTAGAGATTCGAGGATTGCAGTGGTTGTGTTCTCCAAAAAATATGCCTCTTCAAGCTGGTGCCTTGACGAGCTGCTGGAGATTCTGAAATGCAAAGAAAAATTTGGTCAAATGGTTATACCAATATTCTACGGTTTGGATCCTTCCGATCTTAGGAAACAGTCAGGAGAGTTTGAAGAAGCATTTAAAAAGACCTGCCGCAACCAACCAGAGGAAGTGAGAAATAAGTGGAAGCAAGCGTTGACCGATGTTGCAAATATCCCTGGATATATCTCTGATAACTAGTATGTGTTTATATGTCTTGAATAAATATTTCTACTTCAGATATGATCATTGATTTTTGTTCTTTCATGTTTGTGCATTGATTTATCTCTCTTCTCTATTAGCTATAGCGAAGCTGCAATGATTGAAGAAATCTCCAGCCATATTAAACGGAATTTAACTCCATCAGATGATTTTGAGGACTTTGTTGGCATAGAAGACCATCTAACGAATGTGAGATTATTGTTGCATTTGGGATCCGAGAAAGTGAGGATGGTTGGGATATGGGGTACGTTAGGAATTGGCAAGACTACCATTGCGAGAGCTTTATTTACTAATCTCTCTAGTCAGTTCCAGAAAAGTGTCTTCATAGACAGGGCTTTCATATCTAAGAGTATGGAAGGTTATGGCCAAGCCGATCCAGATGACGATAACATGAAGTTGCGCTTGCGAGAAAATTTCCTATCCGAAATTTTGGACAAAAAGAGCATGGAAATCAGTGCAACGGAAGAAAGGCTAAAGAACCAGAAAGTTCTTATCACAATTGATGATTTGGATGATCAATACATGCTAGATGCCTTAGCGGGCCAAGCCAAATGGTTAGGAAATGGGAGTAGAATCATTGTGACTACAACTGATAAGCATCTTTTAAAACACCACGGGATTGATTCCACTTATGAGGTTGGTCTTCCATCCCATAAACTAGCTCTAGAAATGTTCTCTCGGTTTGCTTACGAACAAGACTCTCCACCGGATGGTTTGATGGAGTTTGCTTCCGAAGTTGTAGAACTTGCTGGTAGTCTTCCTTTAGGCCTTAGCGTTTTGGGTTCATCTCTGCGGGGGAGGAAGAAGGAGGATTGTATGAATATGCTGCCGGGGTTTCGAAGAATTCTAGATGGTAAAATTGAAAAGACACTAAGAGTCATTTATGATAGTTTGGACAGCGAAGAGGATAAATCGCTATTCCGTCACATTCTTTTCAATCATATGGAAGCCGAAGACACCAAGTTGTTGCTTGCAGATAGTGATTTGGATGTTCTTATTGGGGGGCAAAACCTAGTTGATAAGTCCCACGCTCATGAAAGATGGGATAAAGTGGAGATGCACCGTTTGCTACTAGAAATGGGTAGTGGTATTGTTCGCAGACAGTCTACTTACGAACCTGAAAAACGGCAATTTCTGGTGGATTCAAAAGATATTCGTGATGTAATCACTCAAGACATTGTAAGTTTTTTTCTTTTGATTTGTGCTCCTTTCATGACTCAGTAAATAAGGTTAAGAGATGTCAATTTATGGGGATTAATTGTAGGCATTTGGCATTTGTGAACCTTATGATTTTGTCTCTTTCTTATTGATATTATAATTTCCAGGGTACTCGAAAGGTTATAGGTATATCATTGGATGTTGATGAGTTACATGTTCATGATGAGGGTGCCTTCAAAAGGATGCATAATCTCCGTTTCCTAAAAGCTCACTCAAGTCTGCTTGAGGAAAAGGTCAGACTACATATACCTGAAGACATCGACTATTTACCCCGTAAGCTCAGATTACTGAGTTGGGAAAAATGCCCGTTGAGCTGTATGTCTTCTAACTTTCGTCCCGAAAACCTTGTTAAGCTTCAAATGTGTGAGAGCAAACTCGAAAAGTTGTGGGATGGAGTTCATGTAAGTTTTTACTAAAGTGATAAGTAGTATCGAGATTAGAATGCTTTTTTAAACATTAAATGTTAATCCTTTTAAGTGATGTGTAACTCACCTATACTTCAGTCACTTACAGGGCTCAGGAATATGGATTTGCGGGGATCTAAAAACCTGAAAGAAATTCCAGATCTTTCTATGGCCACTAACCTTGAGAAACTTGATTTTAGATATTGCTCAAAATTAGTGGAGCTTCCTTCCACAAATCAGTATCTCAATAAACTGAATTATTTCGAAATGTCATTCTGCAAAAATCTGGAGATTCTTCCCACCGGAATCAACCTCCAATCTCTCAATAAACTTAATCTCCAGGGATGCTCACGGTTGAGGAGTTTTCCTTGTATCTCAACCAACATCTCAGAGCTCAATCTAAGCGGAACATCCATAGAAGAATTACCTTCGAACTTGCGTCTACATAATCTCATTGATCTTAGGATGTGGAATATGAGGAGTGAGAAGTTGGTGAAAACAGTGCAGGTATGTACCTCAACCTACGCTTTTCTCCAACTTTGTTAAAACTCGCCCTTTTTATAAGAAGTTATTGTCGCTAGGTTGAATTTCTTACATGTGAAATTAAGTTTCTAGAGAAACTATCTGTGCCGTACTAGTACAACTATGATTATTAATTAGCTTATTATCTATTTTCTATTTTCTGATGTGAGAATATTAGTATGCAAAATAAAGTTTTTTAATTTTATTTTAAATAACATACAGTTAGAGGGTGCAAATTGATAATGTGGCTTTTTTTTTTCACGTTTGTCGTTTGGGTCTTTAAAAGCAATACTTCACAGGAATTATTTAAATTTGTTTCAGTTAAAATAACAGTATTAACACTTTTAATATACAGTAATTTGCGAACTGACAACCAATCTCGTAAACGTAGTTACACGTTGTACAATTGGTGAAAGCAAATAGTCAGTTGAGGTGATGCCGTTTAACATCTCAAAATTGTAAACTCTGATGCAACCTCTAATTCACAGAAAAGCATTAACAAGAGGGTTGGCCCAGTCAAGGAAGAAAACAAGCATGGAAAAGTTAGCAAAAGCTCCACCATGGTGACGAACGAGAGACACATGCCACAACATCAAGTGTTTATCAATTTCTGGGGGGAAGAGGTCCGTTTCAGCTTCATCAGCCATCTGGTTTCCGCCTTTTCAAGGGAAGGAGTCAACGTTTTCATAGAGACAAATGAGAAGAGAGGTGAGGATGATCTTGAAAAAACTTTCCAGAGTATAGAGGATTCGAAAATTGCGCTAGTTGTGTTCTCGAGCAAGTACACAGAATCAAGATGGTGCTTAAATCAGCTGGTCAAGATCAAAGAACGCATGGACGAACGCAAACTCTTAATCATTCCAATATTCTACAAGGTGGAGCCATCACAGGTGAAAGAACTGGAGGGAGATTTTGGTCTTAAGCTTTGGAATTTATGGAGGATTCATCGAGACCACCGTATCATAAAGTGGAAGGACGCTTTGGAGTCTGTTGCAGCCACGACGGATTTCTGTTTGAAGGAGCATAGGTAATTGAATGTTATAAATTATTATATCCTCAGCCCTCAGGGCTTACATGATCAGAGAGTCTCAATGGTCCTTTTTCACTCTTTTTGTAGTTCTTCAGAGTGCGAGTTCATCACTCTGATCGTTGAGAAGGTCCTGAGCAGTATTTCATCGCTGGAAGGAGAAAATCCATTTTTCATATCTACTTCAGGGAGACGAAAAACTACTAGATTGTCCCCTAAAAAAGGAGAAAAACACGAAAGTTTTCTTAAGAAAAATCCCCTCTTTGGCCATGAGCGACGGATGAAGCAACTGGAGCAGAAATTAGAATTTGATTGCAACGAAACTCGAATTATTGGAGTTGTTGGAATGGCTTGCATTGGTAAAACCACTCTCGCAATGATGTTGCACGAAAAGTGGAACTGCAAGTTTGTACGTTGCGTGCCTCTTTTGGATATCCGTAAGATGTCGGAGGACTACAGGCCAGCATGGTTGCGAAAGACACTTCTTGAAGTGCTACTTGGGGGTAAGTTTCCAGTCATAAATGACAAGACGACACATGAATCCTTGAAGGATAAACTGCTTAAAACTAAGGTTTTTGTTGTTCTGGATGATGTGAGTAACAAGAAGCAGTTAAAGTTTCTCCTCGGTGACCTTAATTGGATCAAGAAGGGAAGTAAAGTTGTTATTACATCACGTGATAAGTCACTGATCGAAGAATTCGTTCATGATACTTATGTGGTACCTCCACTGAACTATGGAGAGGCCTTACAGCTCTTTAGCTATCATGCCTTTGGTGATCATGTTGTTCATCCCTCTGTAACTTCCACGAAGCTGTGCAGAGAGTTTTTGGATTGCGCTGGAGGCAATCCACTAATTATCAAGTTACTAGGTAAGAAACTTCATGGGAGAGATGAGGCTCAATTGGAAATCAGACAAGGAGATCTGACACACCTCGGCAGGGTGATTCTAGATATCTTTAGATCTAGTTGTGATGAACTGAGTGCGAAACAGAAAGATGTATTTCTCGACATAGCGTGTTTTTTCAGATCAGAGAATGATTATTTTGTTAGGAGTCTAATGGATTCCGGAGACCATAACGCTACTGATACTGAGAGTGAAGTAAGAGATCTCACCCATAAATGCATGATTGCTATTTCCGGCTGCCGAGTGGAGATGCATGATCTCCTGTATATGCTCGGCAAGATATTTAGCTCACAAGCATTGGTTGAGGAAAATGGAGGGAAAAGTAGACTGTGGTATACTCGGGAAATTATTGATGCACTGACCAACCAAAAGGTAATAAATGTTAAGCAACTAAAAATATGTTGCAACTTGCAGACGAATAATAAAATCTAGCGAAGTATGAAAGCTATGTTTTCATTGTATAGTTCCAGAAATCTTATTTTTTTATTGGCAAGTAAAAGAAATCTCATGTCTCCATATCCCACATCAATGAACTTTCTTGATGTTGTTGTAATAAGTATTCCTAAAGCGTTGTTAAATTTTTAGTGAGACTTCATCTGAGATGTCCTAACTTTTTGTCTTTGAATTTGATGTCAGGATACAAAGAACATGAGAGGTATTTTCCTAGACATGGCTGAGGTAACAGAGCGAATGGTTTTACCCAGGCTAACCTTCATCCATATGATCAATCTTCGATATCTCAAAATATATGATTCTTGTTGTCCTTGGTCATGTAAAGCTCTCTGCAAATTATATTTTCCTGATGGGGTCATGTTCCCTTTGGACAAGGTTCGGTATCTCCATTGGAAGAACTTTCCATTGGAGGAACTTCCATCAGATTTCAGACCGGAGAATCTTGTTGACCTAAGGTTGCCATACAGCTTGGTTGAACGTGTTTGGCAAGGTGTTAAGGTGTGTCTTCTTGTGCCATCGTTTTACTATAGTTTTTCAATAGATTGCTAAAGTACCTTGTATAGTTTTTTCTGATTGGTGGTTGAAATCTGATGGGTTGTCACAGGATACACCACAGTTGAAGTGGGTAGATCTAAGCCACTCGAGTAAGTTGCTTAACTTGTCCGGATTGGAGAAGGCTGAAAGTCTTCAGAGATTAAATCTGGAAGGGTGCACGAATTTAGATGAATTGCCAGGGGAGATGCAAAATATGAAGTCTCTTGTTTACCTTAACCTGAGAGGATGCATACGTCTTTCGTCTCTTCCAAAGATGAATTTAATCTCTTTGAAAACTCTCATCCTCAGCAGTTGTTCTAACCTTAGGGAATTTCAGGTCATTTCCAAAAGTCTAGAAGTTCTACATTTAGATGGCACTTCCATCAGGGGGCTTCCTCCGTCTATCGAGAATCTCCAAAGGCTAGTCGTATTCAATTTGAAAAACTGCAAAATGTTGGAGTCTCTTCCCAACTGTCTAGGCCAGCTCAAAGTTCTTGAAGAGCTGATACTCTCTGGTTGTTCAAGGCTCAAGAATTTTCCAGATATCAGACAAAGCATGAAGCATGTCCAGATATTACTTTTTGATGGGACAGGAGCAACAGAGATGCCAAAGATATCATGCTTCACTGGATCGAATGACCAAGATTCTGTAGATATGGTGTTACAACTTTCTGGCTCATACCTTAGTGAGTGGCCACGTGGTTTGGATGGAGTATCCTCACTACGACGTCTATGTTTGAGTGGAAATGATTTCGCCAGTCTGCAAAATGACATTGGGCAACTTTACAATCTGATATGGCTTGACGTGAAGCAATGCAAGAAGCTTAGATCTATTCCGATGCTTCCACCAAGACTTCAGTACTTTGATGCTCATGGCTGTGATTCACTGGAAAAAGTTGCAAGTCCTCTTGCCGTTCTTCTGCTGACAGAGCAGGTCCATGCCATGTTCAATTTTTCCAACTGTAATAAGCTGGATCAAGACGCACAGGATAGTATCATTTCCTATACTCGGCAGAGAAGCCAGTTGATGCTAGGTGCACTAAGTCGATACAATGGGGTATGTCTGTTCCTCTATATGGAAATTTTACTTTCCCTTTAATTATCTTGTGGTTTTTAAATTAAATTTGGTATTTCCTTTTCCAGGGTATTACTTTGGAACCTTTGGTTGGAACTTGCTTTCCTGGATGGGAAGTACCGGAGTGGTTCAGTCACCGAGGCTCTGGATCAGTGTTACAGCCAAAGCTGTCTCCACACTGGTGTGACAACAGGTTCACTGGGATAGCTCTATGTGCTGTTATCTTATTTTCTGGCTACCATGAGCAGAGGAATCGTCTCTTGGTGAATTGTGATTTTGAGTTCGAGAACGAGGACGGGTCTAGTATCCATTTTAGTTGCACTGTTGGAGGTTGGAACGAACTTAGTAACACACCACAGGAAATGGAGTTGTCTCATGTCTTTATTGGCTATACTAGTAGGTTGGATATTAGCAAACAAGGCGGGTATGATGAAGAGAGATGTTTTTGTAGTAAAAGCTCCCTAGAGTTTCAAGTGACAGATGGTACAGAAAAAGTAGTAGGTTGTGCGGTGCTTCAGTGTGGCTTTAGTTTGGTATATGCAACTGATGACAGGGAGAATATATACGGGGATGCAAAGACTGTGGTGGTTCCAAAGAGGGTTAAGAATGTTCCGGGTGAAGAAATGTCTTATGGAAATTCCCGAAGGGATGATGATTTCCAGTATCAGTCTTATTCTGGTCCAACTCTGCGAAGGGATGAAAATTTTCTTAGTGAAAGAAAATCTGATGCTACCCAAAATTTACGGAAGAGCTTTGGAAACAGAAGATTCGACCTCTATAAAAACCCAGGAGGAGAAGTTACTATAAGCTCTCATCATTACAACACACCTACAGAAAATGTAGAAAAGTCTTCTTTAGTTGGAGTTGAACTACGCCTCAAGCAGCTAGAAAAGGTGCTCTATTCAACGCCCGGGAAAACTCGCATTGTTGGAGTCATTGGGATGCCAGGAATTGGGAAAACAACTCTTGCAAAACTTTTGTTTGAAAAGCGTGGTTGTAAGTTTCCACGTAACTTCTTTTTAACAGTCTCCAAGGACTACATCTCGGAGGAGCTGAAGAGAACATATCTGGAAGAGTTACTCAAACACAGTCAAAACATAAGTGAAGAGACAACAAATGAATCCGTGAAGGATAAACTGCTCCAGACTAAAGTGTTTGTTGTCCTCAACAACGTGAGTGACAAGAAGCAGTTAGAGTTTCTCCTTGGAAACCTCAACTGGATTAATAAAGGAAGCAAGATCGTTGTTACAGCATCTGACAAGTCATTGGTAGAGGGATTGGCTCATGAAACTTATGTGGTTCCGCATTTGAACAACAGAGAGGCCTTTAAAGTTTTTAGTTATCATGCCTTTGATGGTAAAATCTGTATTCCGACGGAGACCTTCCTGTCATTGTCCATATTGTTTGTGGATAATGTTGGAGGCAACCCACTAGCTCTCAAGTTACTAGGCAGTGAACTCTGTGGGAAAGACGAAGCCTACTGGAAACATAAACTGCAAACAGTGATACAAAATTCAAATACGAATATCCAAGATGTCTGGAGATTATATACTGATCAACTTACTGAGCGGCATAAAGGCGTGCTTCTCGACATAGCATGTTTTTTCAGATCAGAGGATGAGTATTTTATTAAGAGTCTACTGGATTCAGGAGATCCTGACTCTACGGATGTGAGCGAAGTAAGAGATCTTGCTGAGAAATTCTTGATTACAATCTGTGACGGCCGAGTTGAGATGAATGATCGACACTACACGTTCTGCAAGGACCTTGGTTCTCGTGGGGGACTCAGGTTGTGGAAGTACAGTGATATACTTGACGAGCTGAGAAAAATGAAACAACTGGTAAGTTTTTTTTTTGTTCGTAAAAGAGAAAGATCTTATTATACTCCAACATTTCTTGGCCTGTCTAAAAATACTTCCCACTATTTTAAAAAGTAAACAATGAAATATCCTATTACCCTCAAACACAAACAGTTCGATTAATCAACATGTGTAAGTTAGAATAATATATAAACACCGAACAACAATAATAGGTAGAATAATCTAGAATAAATCGTGAACAAAGTTTAGCAAGCTTTTATATGTGTGTGGGGATTACAACAGTTTCTGTCAAATCAATGGGACATCAAACTTACCCTCCTGATGAAAATAAAACCCAGCAATATGTATCTCACTCTTCTTTGTTTTATGAATTCATTCTTGCGACTTTCAGTTCGCCGTTTTGGATGTTTTTTTAGGATTACTACTAGGAACATGCTTTATTGTAAAATGCTAGCATATGGTGTATTTTAGTTATACCGATTCCATAGTTTCTTTTGATAGTTATCACATATTCCATTTTTTTTGGAACTTTTAACTGGACAAGTTGTCTTGTTAGATTGTAGATTTGAGTTAGGCTGAGACTTAGTGCGTGTAACTTGTTTTATTTTAACTTGTTATCACAGGAGGCTAATAATGATGTGAGAGGAATTTTTTTTGACATGTCTGAGGTAATTAAAAGCATTGCCTTGGAGCGAACGACCTTCATCCATATGCACAATCTACGGTACCTTAAAATATACGAATCATGTTGTCCTCGGAAAGGTAGATCTGACTGCAAATTACAATTTCCTGATGGGGTTGATTTCCCCTTGGAAGAGGTCAGATATTTTCACTGGCTGAAATATCCATTGGAGGAACTTCCACCAGACTTCAGACCAGAGAATCTTGTTGACCTAAGGCTGCCTTACAGCAAGGTTAAGCGTCTTTGGAAAGGCGTTAAGGTGTGTTGTTCTGTTCTTATTTTATATTAAACTTGTATATTTGATTAAATGGCACAAGTGAGGTGTGTAGTTTTTTTTGTTTGTTTGTTTACTGGTGGAATTTTGATGGATGGATTGTTATAGGATATACCAAGGTTGAAGTGGGTAGATCTAAGCCACTCGAGTAAGTTGCTTAACTTGTCAGGATTGGCAAAGGCCGGAAGTCTTCAGAGATTAAATATGGAAGGCTGCACGAATTTGGATGAGTTGCCAGGGGAGATGCAAAATATGAAGTCTCTCGTTTACCTGAATATGAGAGGATGCATACGTCTTAGGTCTCTTCCAAAGATGAATTTGACCTCCTTAAAAACACTCATCCTCAGTGATTGCTCAAACCTCAAGGAATTTCAGGTCATTTCCAACAGTCTAGAAGTTCTACATTTAGATGGCACTGCCATCAAGGGACTTCCTCTAGCCATCCAGAAACTTGAAAGACTTGTCGTATTAAATTTGAAAAACTGCAAATTGCTGGAGTGTCTTCCCAATTGTCTCGGCGAGTTGAAAGATCTTGAAGAGATAATACTCTCTGGTTGTTCAAGGCTTAAGAATCTTCCAGATGTCAGGCAGAGCATGAAACATGTTCAGATTTTACTTTTTGATGGGGCTGGAGTAGATGAGATGCCAAACGTATCATGCTTCATTGGATCCGAAGGAAAAGCTTCCGTAGATATGTCTTTCCAAAATTTTGGATCATACGGCAATCCTAGCGAGTGGCCACGCCGTGTTAACAGAGTATCCTCACTTCGACGTCTATGTTTAAGTGGAAACGACTTTGTCAGCCTGCAAAATGACATCGGGCAACTCTACAATCTGATATGGCTTGACGTGAAGCAATGTAAGAAGCTTAGATCTGTTCCCATGCTACCACCCAGACTTCAATATTTTGATGCTCATGGCTGTGATTCACTGGAAAGAGTTGCAAATCCTCTTGCCCTTCAAGTAGTGACGGAGCAGATCCATGCCACCTACAATTTTTCTAACTGCAACAAGCTGGATCAAGACGCAACGGATGCTATCATATCTTACACTCGGTGGAAAAGTCAGTTGATACTAGATGCACGAAGTCGATACAATGGGGTCAGTTCCTCTCTATCAAATTTTCACTGTTCTTGTCTGTACCCGTGGTTTCTTATATTGTCTTTGTACTTATTATTTTCCAGGGCTTTGCTTTGCAAGCTTTGATTGGAACTTGCTTTCCTGGATGGGAAGTACCAACATGGTTCACTTACCGAGCGACTGGATCCTTGTTAGAACCAAAGCTGCCTCCACACTGGTTTGACAGCAGGTTTACTGGAATAGCTCTATGCGCTGTGATTCTTTTTCCAGCCTACCAAAACCAGCGGAACAATCTCTTTGTAAAATGTAATTGTGAGGTCAAGAATGAAGATGGATCTCGTAGCCTCTTTAGTTGCCCTGTTGGAGGGTGGAGCGTACCTGGTGAGAAAATTGAATCGTCTCATGTCTTTATTGGTTATACCAGTAAGTTGGATATCAAAAAACTTCGCGAAGACAATGAGGAAGGATGTGTTCATACTGAGGCTTCATTTGAGTTTCAAGTGACAGATGGTACAAAAGATTTAAAAGTTTGCAAGGTACTGAAGTGTGGCTTTAGTTTGGTATATGAATCTGATGATTTGCAGGTTAATTTTGGTGAACACGAAACCACTATTGAAGCAAATCAGGACATAACATCATCAAGTTGGATACAAGATTTCTTTGGTTACATCTTTTTGGCATTCTCTTGCGTGATCATCTATGCGATATTGGGTTTCGGTGTGATAGTCTTTGCTCCTCAGTATTACATGAGCTTTTCAGATTTCTGCTGGCCGTTACTTGCTCGTATTCTTTTATTGGTGGCCTTTGGATTGTTTCTCAAACAGTAAGCACCAAGACCAAACCAGAAAGAAAGCCGATAATTTGAATGTCTACTTCATATTTTATTAGAAGAATTTGAGAATTGATGTTGAACAGAAACTAAAGCTCTCATGAAGAAGACACGATAAGCTCGAGAGAATAATATGGAAATTATAATTGTTTCTGTTAAGTGTAAAATATGATGTACAAAGTGTTTATATACACGATTATAAACTATCCGGTACAAACCGGTTCACTAAACCAAAATCAAATGTGTAAACCACATTATCATCTCTAATATATTTGGCTGTCTTTTATTCGAATTTAGAGACTAGCAAGTAGCAACGTTGACAAACTAAATTAAAACAGAACTAAGCTTAGTGAAGTGTTTCTATGTCTTGTTGTGCTTGTTTTTTAAGTTATTATTATAGGGTGAAAATTAATGTCATTCATTTTATCAAATTTTTATTTATCGAAGACGAAGAAACTAAATTGGAGCTTCATTCCCTTCGTTCTTCAACCTCCCAAGATTATTTCCCCTTTAGAAGTCTGTAACTAGCTAACCCTCTATTAGAAATAGCTACTTATTTATTTATTGTTTTGCGACCACTAACATTCAGAAAGACTCGAGACACTTCTTCAATATCTTCTTAATCCAGATCAGCTTCCTCTTTGTCCACCTCAGCTTACCCTTCATTTTTCTCTTAATACCAAATCTAACCAAAAGGTCCAAAAGTCTCCAATGGCTTCAATATTGTAAATAATGGTTGATTGTTATTAAACTTACTAGGTTACGACTTACGAGCCCCATGATTTCGTAACAAGTTAGTGTTACAAAAATATTTGATTTCGTAATATCACCAATTCACCATATATAATATTTCAAAATTCCTATATATTTAATGCTTTGATAATTTTTGTTAATGCATTTTAAATTTGAATATAAAACCTCCTCTATATACTAGATATGGACCTGTGCGTTGCATGGGTTACCAGTCGAGATTATCATTCTTATAATATTTTTATTTTATTTTTGTAAGCTTAACTAAAATTCTATAAACATATATATTTTAAAAAATACAGCATAATTATTTCTAAATATAGATTTATTAGCATAATTTGCAATATAAAACATTATTTATAGTTATGTTATACTAATTATTAAATCATCTAATATAAATGTTGGCCTATTTATAAATTTATATAATTTTTTGCTTATTATAAGTTATAAAGTCATAAATGTTCATTTGTTGTATTATTGAATTTTAATAAGTTATTTATATCCATCAGAAAAGTGTGTTACATCTTAAAAATTTAATGTGGGCAAGATGGAAACAAAACTATGACAATAAAAAAAGATAAAATTATATAATTACGTAAACATATGAACGATATATGTATAATATGTGAACATACAGTCTGAGTTACGTAAATATAGATTTTTTTAAAGAAAAGATTGACGACATAAGAAAATTGTGATAATAAAAGAAGAGAAAATATGAGAATGCCTATATCCATATCATATAACTTTACTTGATAATATGAAATATCTTCAACATAAAGAAACAACCTTATAAAGAATTACAAAATATACACTAAATAACTTAAGACTAAAAAAAATTTAAGAAAACAACATTATCTATTTGCAACATGACTTTTGTCATTTTAGGCCCATATTACCAATTTCTTCGTTTTTTCTTCTTTCTAATTCTCAAATTTCTATGTATATTAGATTTCTCTTATTTTTGGTCAAACTCCTCTTTCTTTCTCCTTCTCTCCCTCTCATCGGATTTCTTCACCACCATAGGTTTATTTATTTATTTTTCTCTATCTCCATTTCTCGTATTCGTCGGACATTACTACCGAGTCTCACTACTCTGACCCACCACCACAACTGAATCTCATTACTATCACAATCACCATCACCATCAATACCGAATCTCGCTAATTCCGACTCACCACCTTTATCAATATTTACCGCCGCCACCACCACCACCACCATCAACACCAACACCACTATTACCGCCTCTTATCCTCTTTCTCCAACTTCTCTTATTACTCCACTTTCTTTATCTCCTCCGACATTAGACCAAGCCTCTCCGACAATTATTAATTTTCCTCAATTGTTATATATTCATTAGATCTGAATATCACATGCTAATTTTAGAAAAACATCGTGATTGGAAGTATTTTTTTTATAATTGATATGATATAACATCGTTAAGAAATTAGTTTGCTTGATGAGAAAATATGAGACAATCTATTTGTTTATATAAAGATGACTATTTACTATCTTTTTCTTATAGGATTAATAACTGATTGTATAATTTTCTTAATTTTTTCTAATTTTAAATCTTTTTCTTGTAAAGTTAGTAACTTATAAATAAAACGTTTAGCATAATTTTATAATTTCGATTTTATGGATATATACATATAAATTCTTTATATATATGTAGAGTTTTCTTATTATAATCTTTTTAAAACTGTTTAAATTTATAATTTTGTTATAACTATTTTTTAAAAACAAAATTTTTGTTTGCTAGATGGCAAAAACTCTTATGGAAATATATGTTTGGGAAGAGATTTTAAAATCACTAATTGAATAACAGGTGATTTTAACAAAAAAAAACAAAATTTTCCAAAATCATTGTTCCAATACACCCCCGTACAATATCCTTATAATTAGGTTTTTACATTTTAAAACTTGTTTAAATTTATAATTTCTTAAAATTATCTTTTTACTTTTTTAAAAAAAAGGAAAATTTTATTTGACAAGATAGTAAATATATAGTAATCCACACACATTTTCTAATATGTAATTTAATATTTTTGTTTTAAATAAAATTCCAATCTTACACATTATATTACATTTTGCTATACATATTAATTATCTGTTTTATCATAATAAACTAAATTTTAGTTATACACACTTGATCATATTAATGATATTTGAATTCTAAATAGTAACCCACACACTTTTTCTATATTTAATGAGAAATTGTTAAAAATGCCCCTTTTGAGATACCCCTTTTCAAAAATACCCCTTTTGAGAGTCCATTTTTAAGTTTGCCCTCTTTTAATTTTTAATGACCATTTTACCCTTATTTGAAACAAAATTAGGTCCACAAAATACAAAATATTTTTTGGCGGGAAAAGTGATCCCGCAAATTTTTGGCGGGAAACGTGACCCCGCAATTTTCCCGCCAAATTTTTTTTTTTTCGGGAAAAGTGATTCCACAATTTTTTTGGCGGGAAAAATTTACAAGGTATTTTAAAGGTTTTAGAGAGTATTTACAAGTGTTTTGTAAGGTTTTACAATGTATTTTAAAATGTTTTACAAGGTACTTATAAGGTATTTATAACTTGTAAAACCTTATAAAAAACTTGTAAAACCTTATAAAATAGCTTGTAAAATCTTATAAATACCTTATAAATACGTTGTAAAATCTTTTAAAATACATTGTAAAACCTTATAAATACCCTGTAAAAACCATTAAAATACCTTGTAAATTTTTCCCGCCAAAAATTTAACGCCAAAAAAATTGCGGAATCACTTTTCCCGCAAAAAATATTTTTTGACGGAAAAATGTTTTGGCGGGAAAAATTTTTACGGGAAAATTTTACAAGGTATTTTAAAGGTTTTACAAGTTTTTACAAAATCAAATTTGTAATTTTGATGTGTGCACATTCTCATGTTTTCCTTATATATTTATGATATCTTTTATCAAAAGAAGGGTAATTTAGTCATTTTGTACATAAAAAGGGGTATTTTTAAAAATGGACAGCAAAAGAGGGCATTTTTGAAAAGGGGTATTGAAAAAGGGGCATTTTTGTGAGTCTCCCATATTTAATTTACTTTTTTCTAAAACCAAATTTCAGTTTTACACATTCCATTTTGCAGCACAATTTAATTATCTATTTTTTTTTTGGTGATCGATAGGAGACAATGTCTCCTATGGTAATTTATTAAAGTAAAAGAAACTTATAACCAGACATTACGTGGGTACGCAGACCCGTTCATATCCTCCAACATAACCGGATAAACAATTTCCGGATTATGCAACACATTTTAATTATCTATTTCATCACAATAAACTGAATTTTAATTCTACAAACTTAATTTTGTTGATGATATTTGAATTCTAAATAGTAACCGACAAACTTTTTCTAATTAAATTTAATTTAGTATTTTTTTTAAACCAAATTTCAATCTTATACATTTCATTTAAGAGAAATTGTTAAAAATGCCCATTTTTCAATACCCCTTTTCAAAAATGCCCCCTTTGAGAGTCCATTTTTAAGTTTGCCCTCTTTTAATTTTTAATGACCATTTTACCCTTAGTTGAAACAAAATTAGGTCCACAAAATACAAAATATTTTTTGGCGGGAAAAGTGATCCCGCAATTTTCCCGCCAAAACACTTGTAAAACCCTTTAAAATACCTTGTAAAATTTTTTCCCGCCAAAAAATTTTTTTTACTTATTCAATGGCGTGATCCTAGATGGGTGAAGAAGGGGTGGGTGGCTGTAGGCCTGAGATAATTATCCGGGATCCGCGGATATCCTCATCCGGATCCGGGATCCGCTCCGGAAAAACGGATATCCGGCCATGACGGATCCGGATACGGATAAAGAATTTTCGGATCTGGATCCGGATAATAAGAATTTTTGTGGGCGGATATCCGGATCCGGGTACATACCAATTGTAATTTTGAATTAATGTTGTTATGTCTTCAATTGAGCCCACATTTAAAGCCCAAAATTAAGTCTCATAACATGAATGGGGGTTTGTTAAGCCACGTTAAAAGCCCACATCATTTATTAGCTCCATGACTCCATCTAGGGTTTGTCTCTTTCGATTCAGAAGAACGGCGGACGCATCTCTTCTTCTTTTTCTTTTTTGACAATCCATCATCTCTTCTTCTTACAATCACAACTGAGACTCATTTCTTCTCCCTAGAATCACAATCCGCAAAGGAAATCGCCTTCTCTATATCTCCTCATCTCCAATTTCAATCTAAAACTTTGAAAACTCGTTTTTTGTGGATGAGATCAGTTTTTTTTTTTACTACGTTTCTATTCTCGGTCGTGTCACCAAGTTTTTTCATCTCCAGATTATATAAAACCTCTGTAAATCATGTGAATTCATGTTTTTCTAAAGATCTATAACAATTTGCGGAACAGATCCGGATATCCGCCGGATATCCAATTTTTTTCCGGTTAACCGTAATCCGGATATCCGGGTTACACGGATACGGATCCGGATACTATATGTGAAGATCTGCCGGATACGGATCCGGATTGCCCGATTTTTCGGGTTAATCGCTCCGTTAACAGGCCTAGGTGGCTGAGTCATTTTGAAACAAAAAAAAATTCTACAATTAATGAAATACAATTATGTAATTGGAACAATTCAAGTTGACCAGTTGGCTTAAAGTAATCAGGGACACGCATATATTATGGGTTGGCTGGTTTTGTAATTCTAAACTAATTGCAATCTCAGTTTTCTCTCCATACTTTTTTGCTCTGAAAAACAACCATAAACAAAGTTTAGGGGGTGTTATTCACTCATGGAGTTAAAGTCAATTCTATAAAGGTTTAGATTTGATTTCTGATATTGTTTTTAACAATCTGTTTGTGTGGAGTTCAAAATCTCTGCAGTATATCTTGGATTATGATTCTAATAATTTACTCATGAAACTCCAAAGATGTTTCATTTCAAATGATTTGATATACAAAGATTTTACAAGTCTTTTAGTTTTGAATAACACTGGATTTTAATGAAGCATTTTAAATCTTAGTTGAATAACACCAAACTTTAAAATCTATTAGAGTTAGATTTAGAATCAATAGGTTAATAACACTGGATTAGTGTTAGATTTCAATTCTATTAAAAATCCATCATTGAATAACACCACCTTAATCTCAAATGCCTACATGTACTTTCGGATTCATCCTTAAAACTACGTCTCCAATTGAATCTGTGATTATACCGAGATTAACCACAAATCCGCGTTTATTGTACCTCGAATATGATTTACCCGATTAAGCACCCATAACCCGTTAAGAAAACGACCTCATTTTCATTCTTCTTCTTCTACAAAATCGATTTGGGCGTTTAGGGTTCTTCATTAACGAAATTTCTGAAATTTTTGAAATGATGAGCACCACAAACTACTCATATGCTTCCAGTTCGAGTTATCGTGTTTGTCCTCCTGGTGTCCCCTCGAAATGCTGGTTTGGAGAGGAGATCATCACATTCACATCGAAGACAAACGAAAATCCATACCGGAGATTCTACCGATGCGCGATTGCAATGAAGGTACGTACACATTTCGATTTTTTAAAATTGTTGATTGATTGAAAAGAGTATCTGATCGGAATTTATGTTTTGTAGAGGGAAAATGAAGAGCACTTGTTCAAATGGGTTGATGAAGCGCTCTTAGATGAAATTAAGATGGTAAATGAGAAGTGTAATAGAGTTGCAAAAAATATTAGTGATATGAGGATGAAGGTGATGGCTAAATTTTCTCTGCAACTTCCGATCTTACACTCTTCAGAGAATATTCACCTTCATCCTGTAAGTTTTGAAAAGATGAGCACCACGAGCTACTCATCTGCTTCCACGACAAACATGATAACCCGAACTGGAAGCAGATGAGTAGCTTGTAGTGCTCATCTTTTCAGAAATTTTATTAGTGAAGAACCCTAAATGCCCAAATCGATTTTGTAGACGAAGAAAAATAAAAACGATGTTGTTTTCTTAACGGGTCATGGGTACTTAATTGGGTAAATCGTAATTGCGGTACAGTAAACGCAGATTTATGGTTAATCCTGGTTTAATCACCGATTCAATTGGAAGCGTAAGTACATGTAGGCATTTTGAAATTAAACTTTGTTTATGGTAGTTATTTCCGATGAAAAAGTATGGGAAAGGGAGAAAAAGAAAGCTGAGATTGCAATTAGTTTAGGGCTTCAAAATCAGTCAACTCATATTTATTGAACTGGTCCAGATTCCAGATTGCAAGCTTCTCTATTACCAATCCAACCAAAAAGGTCCAAAACTCTTCAATGGCTTCTTCTTCTTTCTCAAGCTCCTCTGCCATTTCCGTGGTTAGATTACTCTCTCCTCGAGTTTTCGTCAATTTCCGAGGGATTGACTTGCGCAACAACTTTATCAGCCATCTAGAGAAAGCCCTGGGAGAGAGTGACATCGACTTCTTTATTGACAATCAACTACTGCCAAGCGAGGATCTTGAAACCCTTTTTAAGGAGATTGAGGATTCAAAAATCGCACTCGCCATCTTCACGGAACGGTACTCAGAATCGAAATGGTGCTTGGACGAGCTAGTGAAGATTATGGAAAAGGTGCAGGAAGGAAAACTCAGAGTCATCCCCATCTTCTTCAAGGTGAAGGTGAATGATGTGAAACATTTTACTGGGAAGTTCGGCAGGAACTTATACAGAGGAGATCGCCGTGAAAATTCCAATATGCCGAAATGGGAGGCAGCTTTGAGATCTGTTCCCGCAAAAAAGGGCTTGACTTGGGCGGATCACATGTAAAAACTAAGCAAACTACCCAACCATCTCAATCCTTTCCTAATTTCAAGATTCCGACTGATATTTTTGTTTTACTTGTATGGCAGGAACGAGAGTGATTTCATTGTCGACATTGTAAAGATAGTGAAGAAAGTGCAAGCAAAAATTTCAGGAGGACAAGGAACCAACAACATGTCTTCTACAAATATCTCATCGGTGAGTTCTAGTGGTAATACTCTCTCTGGAACCATTGAACAGCCTAGATTGGAACAACAGCTTAAGGAATTGGAAGAGAAGTTATTTGATTTTAATTATGAAAAACGTCGAATAGTTGGAATTGTTGGGATGCCTGGTATTGGTAAAACTACTCTCGCTCAAAAATATTACAATAACGGGATAGGCAAATTTCTGGTTGATAAGAATATCCGGGGGATCCGTGAAATGTCAAAAAAACATGGTTCAGATTGGTTGAAGAACACACTTCTGAATGATAAGGCTCAAATGTTCACAAAGAAAAGTTTTTATCTTTTGGATGATGTGAGCCACAAGGACCAAGTAGAATATTTACTCCAAAATCGGGAACGAATTATAGATGGAAGCAAGATTGTCATTACAACACGTGACAAGTCATCCATCGAGAAACTGGTGGACGATACTTATGTGGTCTCTGGTTTAAACGATAAAGAAGCTCTTCAGCTCTTTAACAATCACGCCAAAGGGAATTTCCCGGAGCTTTCCAAAAAGTTTGTGGAGTATGCTGGAGGCAATCCACGAGCCCTCGAGGAATTGGGAAAGGAGATTTGTGGGAAAGACGAGAATCAGTGGAAAGCAAGACTTCTTACGCTGCCATATTGTTGCAATCCGAGGATCCTTACAGAATTGAGATTCAGTTATGACTTACTGAGTGATCAGCAGAAGGATGCGTTTCTCGACATAGCTTGTTTCTTCAGATCAGAGGAGGAAGATTATGTAAAATGTTTACTAGATCCGCATGTTACTGAGTCTGGTGAAGCTGTTAAAGATCTTGCTGAAAAGTTGTTGATATGTATCTCTGCCGGCCGAGTAGAGATGCATGATGTATGGTGTACATTTGGAAAGGAACTCGGTTCATCCCATGAAAATAAGTCAGGGGAAAGAATGTTGAATCATGACAAAACTATTGAAACTCTATACTTAAAACGTTTAAAAAAGGTAAAAGATATCTCACAAATCCCTCTTAACATTAATGCACTTTCTTGAGTTAAAACTATAACTTTACACTTTACTAACTTCTTGTCATTTGACTTGCTAGCAGGGAAAGAACAAGGTGAGAGGTATTTTCCTAGACATGTCCAAATTTGGAGGAATCAATGGAATACCATTAAAAGCGAATAGGTTTATCAAAAGGTTGGACCAGCAGAATCTGCGATACCTTAAAATCTATGATTCTCTTTGTCCTCAGCGATGTGAAAAGGACTGTAAAGTAAACTTGCCCGATGAACTTGAGTTTCCTTTTCCAGAGATTCGATATTTCCACTGGCTGAAATTCCCATTGACAGAACTTCCATCAGACTTCAACCCAAATAATCTTATTGATCTCAGGCTGCCTTACAGTAAGATTAAACATGTTTGGGAAGATGCTAAGGTGTGTCCTTTGTGCCATCATTTCATTTCCTACATTTGAGTGCTCTCTATTGTTTCCAAGGCCACTTTGCTGATACTTGTGAATTTTTGTTAAAACCTGCTTTTTCATATAATTTCTGCAAACGCAAACAAAATTTCTCTTTCCGTTAGCGTTTTAACTTTTGCATATTACTATTTACAAATGAACTATGATTAAAACTGTTTTATTTCGAGGAAACAAATTGTTATAACATCTAGACATATATGTATACAATAAAAATGTGCTGATTGGCGGTAACCATGTTTTGAGTGCTTCTCACAGAAAACGCCGCAGTTGAAGTGGGTGGATCTAAGTTTTTCAACTGAATTGAGTGACCTGTCAGCATTGTCAAAGGCGTTTTATCTCCGAAGATTGAATCTTGAAGGCTGCACGAATCTGAGTAGTTTGCCAAAAGAGATGAGTAACATGAAGAGCCTTGTTTTCCTGAACCTCAGAGGATGTGTCATGCTCTCGTCTCTACCAAAAAAACTGAATTTAATCTCTCTGAAGATTCTCATCCTCAGTGGCTGCTCAAAATTTGAAAAGTTTGAGCTGTATTCTGAAAATCTTGAATTTCTACATTTAGATAGCACTGCAATCAAGAGTCTTCCTAAAAGCATCAAGAACTTCCAAAAACTTGTGTTACTGAATCTAAAAGAGTGCAAAGTGTTGGAGTCTCTACCATACTATCTCTACAAGTTGAAGGCTCTTGAAGAACTAATTCTCTCTGGTTGTGTACTGCTTAGGAGTTTTCCTGATATTAAGGAGAACATGGAAAATCTGCAGATTTTACTACTCGACAGGACCTCAATAAAAGAGCTACCAAATGTATTACTACATTGTGTTAAATTCAAAGACCAAGTGGTTTGCCAACAGCCACTCCGGATGAATGGCATATCCTTGTTGCGGCATCTATGCTTAAGGGGAAATAAAGATATCTGCAGCCTGGGATCTAGCATCAGCCAACTCTATCATCTGAAATGGATCGACTTGAAGTATTGCGATAGTCTACTCTCTATTTCAACTCTGCCACCAAATCTTCAATGCTTAGATGCGCATGAATGTATCTCACTAAAAACAGTCGCCAGTCCGTTGGCCCTTCTTATGCCAACAACGCAGCAGGTCCCCACTTCATTCATTTTCACTAACTGTGAAAAGCTAGAGCAAGCTGCCAAGAATGAAATTGTATGTTATGCTCACAATAAGAGCCGCCTCCTCTCAGAAGCATTGAATCGCCAGAATAAGGTACTTCTCTCTGCTAGAGCTACTCTGTATCCGAAACTTTGTTCTATAGTTTCTCTTAGACTAGGAACCACCCTTTGGTAATACTTGCAAATGGTGTAAAAATAATCACTCCATAAATTAAGATTTCCACTCTTATCTTTCAAGTCAGTGGTCTGAAATTATATATCAACCGTATTCAATCTACTTTTCAGGGTTTCGCGTTTGAAACTTTGGTTGCTACTTGCTTTCCTGGAAGTGAAGTCCCTGCTTGGTTTAGTCACAGAGCTTCTGGGGCAGAGTTAAAGCCAGAGCTTCCTGGACACTGGAGTAAAAATGGGTATGTTGGAATAGCTCTATGTGCTATCGTCTCATTTGAGGACTACGAAAATCGAAACAAAGATCTCCAATTGAAATGCAGATGTGAGTTCAATGATATTGAGACATCCTCTAGCAACTTTAATTGCCATATTGGAGGTTTATCTGAGACAGGCGTTAAGGAAAAAAAGATTAAGTCTAGTCATGTGTTCATTGGCTACACCAATTGGTTGGATATAAACAAAGGTCAAGAACAGAATGGTACGATGGGATGTGTTCCTACCAAGGCTTCCATCACATTTAAAGTGACAGATGGTACTAATGAGGTTATGAATTGTGAGATCTTGAAGTGCGGCTTTAGTTTAGTTTATGAATCAGGTTCTTGGGAAGCAAGCTTAGGGACAGAGTGCGTCACACATTGTAAAGGTATATTGTCAGGTTTCTTGAAAGGAATCAAATGGCTATTTAAGTAACCGAAACAATGGTCATAACTTCAATAGTGAAGAAACCTGCAGTAATATGTAGCTTCATAGAGTGATAAATAGCTTCTTTTATCAAAATATCTTCTTGTAACAAACATTTTATGAGGCAATTGTGATTGTTAATTTCACTCATTTTCACATATTTGTGACTATTAGTCTATTACTAAAACAAAGTTGGGTGCTAATTAAACTTTTGATTTCTGGATCTTAGTGGAAATTGCGTGCCAACTAATAATACTCTTTAATCATGACTTTAATATTGTCTTCACCGACCTAGATTATTGATTTGTTTTCCTTCTGTTGCAAAATAACAAAAAAATCCAGTTATAACATATTATCTTGTCCACCATTCGATCTGAATTTGTCTCCGATCTAATTCTATTACTCATTCGATTTGAACTGTCCTCGATATAACATATTATTTAAATAAAATTATATGCAATTGTAAACGTGTAGATGAAGACAATAACGCTCAACTAATCTGTGAACCAAAATACATGGTGAAAAATCTAAATAAAATTCGAAACCCTTAAATGAGAACAATTGGTGGACAAGATGTGGGATTCATGATAATAGAGCAAGATGATGAAATCGAGGACAAGATCTAGACGCAACAGAGAATTTCTAATCGGGGACAAGATCTGGAGACAAAAACAAAAGTTTGTCATCAATTGTTCCTTTATCTGACACATCAGTCTGTCACCGTCAAGGGCAATTTCGTCCACAAATTTGCATATGACAATGAAATGTGGTAGATTTTGAAAACTGTTTTCAATTGTGGTAGATTTTGAAAGACACTTTTCAAAAAGTGGTAAATTTTGAAAGATTCCCTTTTAAAAAGTAGCCTACTTTGTTTTAAAGTAGATTTATCTTGGACTTTGCAAATAAGATTAGTATAAATTATTGGTAGAGAAGCGAGTTGAGGAAGTTATAACTTTGACATGAAAAAGCAATCAGAAAAGTCTCCGTTATATGACTTGACCCATTCTCTCTTTAGAGCATGATTAGTGGTGGTCTCTTGCTAGAAGGGCATTTCTTTCCCGCCTACTTGAGTAGCGCGTTGGATCTATGCTTAGGCAGCTTAATCGAGACTTCATATACGAGTCTCTCACAATTAAAAACAATAAAAAATATTAAATTAATGTGTTTGCTAAAAAGTGCATGAGATTCGATTCTCATATGAGGGACTTTGAGAACTTAATGAGAGCCTTTTATATGGGACACATGTCATCTTGTGAATGGTTTAAATTTTATTAGGATAAATCAAATACCCAATAGATTAAAAGCTAATTAAATAGTTTATATGTTATTATTATTTTTTTATTTTTTTTTTAGAAATCATAAAATAAAATTACCTATCTAACAAGTTCCATTATGCATGATTTTATAAATTATATATTAATATTATTTTAAATAATATTAGTTAAAATTATAATAATAAAAATTAATATTGTTTTTGTTAAAACACTTATTTAAAATTAATTACTAAAAATATCTGAGATTCGAAAAGTTTAAAATACTCTACGGATATACCTACTAATTTGGGAAACATTCTCGGCAATCGGCTTAAAATTCGTGATACGGGTATACATCAACATCTAAAAGCTGATTTGGTTGATCATATATGGTAAAAATTTGGTCATGAAGATTAGGCCAAGTTAATTATATCTATGATCATGGTTTTATATGTTATTATGTATTTTTGCATTTTTATTTCTTTAAAGGATTTATGTTATTTAATTTTATGTTTAATTGTATTAATAATATTTATGGTTTTATTATTGTTACTATTACAGATTATATAAACAAATATAACTAATTAATAAAATTGAATATATTTAAAATATAATTTGATATAATTTAAAAGATATTATTTAAAAATCTTTTAGTTTAAAATAAAATATAAATATATTTTCAGGTTAAATTATATTACAAATAATAAACTATAATAATATTGTATTGTTTTTGTTTGAAAAAATAATTATTATATTGGTGAGAGACTCTTGGTGAGTGACTCACCAATAAAAGTAAAAAATCTATAAAAAATTCTCATAATAAAGTACACACAAAATAATAATATTATATTGTGAGAGATTCATTTGAGTCTCTCACCACTACACATGCTATGTTTTTTGTCTTTTCGTTTTGTAAAGTAAACTTTCTTGACTTTAAGTCTATAAACATATATCCAAAAAGTTGCATCGTGGGTTCCATCATATCGTAATAAAGCTGATAAGACCTAACTTGTTTTTTAAGTTTTCCCTCTCAATTACCAACTATTTCTTCAGATCGTGACTTTCTAAGTTTTTTTTCTTCTTCCTTCCCTAATGGCTTCTTTTTCATCATCATCTCGTAATTGGGTATATGACGTTTTCCCTAGCTTCAGTGGAGAAGACGTCCGCATAAACTTCCTCAGCCATTTTCTCAAGGAGCTAGATAGGAAATTTATCAAGGCTTTCAAAGACAATGAGATCGAGCGAAGCCACTCGATTGCCCCCGAGCTTGAAAGGGCGAATAGGACTTCTAGGATCGCGGTGGTTGTGTTCTCGCCAAAATACGCCTCTTCCAGTTGGTGTCTGGACGAGTTGGTGGAGATCGTGAAATGCAAGGAAGAGTCAGGTCAATTGGTTGTGCCCGTTTTCTATGGTTTAGATCCATCTCATGTCAGGAAACAAACCGGAAAATTTGGAGAGGCTTTTGCAAAGACTTGTAAGATCAAAACAAAAGCAGTGAAAAATCAATGGCAACAAGCATTGACCGTTGTTGCGAATCTACTCGGATATCATTCCCAAAACTTGTAAGAATTTCTGAATCTCTGTGACTGTGAGTAACGGGTATATATATACCTTAAAATTTAAAGACATGTTTATGCGTGACATATGACTCTATTCGTACTTGTTGTCTCATGTAAGCAAAAACGAAGCTACAATGATTGAAGAAATTGCCAATGATCTTTTGGTCAAACTGAATTTAACTCCATCAAAAGATTTTGAGGATTTTGTTGGGATCGAAGATCATATCGCAGAGATGAGTTTATTGTTACATTTGGAATCTGAGGAAGTGAGGATGGTTGGGATATGGGGTCCCTCAGGAATTGGCAAGACTACCATTGCAAGAGCTCTATTTAGTCGACTCTCTCGCTACTTCCAAGGTAGGATTTTCATAGATAGACGGTTCATATCTAAGAGTATGGATGAATATAGAGGAGCCAACCCTGACGACTATAACATGAAGCTGAGTTTGCAAGAAAACTTCTTGTGTGAAATTTTAGGCACAAGGCAAATAAAAATAGATCATTTAGGTGCGGTGGAAGATAGGCTAAAACATCAGAAAGTACTTATCTTTATTGATGATTTGGATGATCAAGTGGTGCTAGATGTCTTGGCTGGCCAAACTCATTGGTTTGGAAGTGGAAGCAGAATCATTGTGATTACAAAAGATAAGCAATTTTTAAGGGCGCATGGGATTGAACATATTTATGAGGTCTGTCTCCCATCTGAAGAGATTGCTATAGAGATGTTAAGCCGATCTGCTTTCAGACAAAGCTCTCCTCGTGAAGGTTTTGAGAAGCTTGCCGTTGAAGTTGCGAGACATGCTGGTAGTCTTCCTTTGGGTCTTACTGTTTTGGGTTCATCTTTGCGGGGGAGGAACAAGGAATATTGGATGGAAATGTTGCCACGGCTTCAGAATGGTCTAGATGGGAAACTTGAGAGAACATTACAAGTTAGCTATGATGGTTTAGATAGGGTAGAAGATAAAGCAATATATCGTCACATAGCATGTCTTTTCAATGGTGCGGAAATTACTTATATCAAGATGTTGCTTGCTGATAGTGGCTTGGGTATAAATATTGGGATTGAAAACCTAGTTGATAAGTCCCTCATTCATGTAAGAAGGGATAATGTGGAAATGCACAGTTTGTTACAAGAAATAGGTAGAAAAATTGTTCGCGCACAATCCATTGACGAGCCTGGAAACCGGGAATTTCTAGTGGATTCGAAAGATATTTGCAATGTCCTTAGTAAAACTATTGTAAGTGTTTTCCCGTACTGCTCTCATTTATCATAAGAGAAGGTTAAGAGCATTTCATAGATAAACGATGATTTATAAGCGTTTATTAATTAAGCTAATAATTTTGTCTCTTTCTTATTTTTATTTTAATTTTCAGGGTACTGAAAAGATTTTAGGTATATCACTGGATATGGACGAAATTGATCATGAGTTGCATGTAAATGAGAGTGCCTTCAAAGGGATGAATAATCTTCGTTTCCTTAAATTTTACACGTCTGAAAAAGAAGTCAGATTGCACTTACACGAAAGCTTCGACTATTTGCCTCATAAACTTAAATTATTGCATTGGGAAAGATACCCAATGAGATGTATGCCCGCTAAGTTTTGTCCTAAAAACCTTGTCATTCTTATGATGAAGAATAGCAAGCTTGAAAAGTTGTGGGAAGGAGATTCTGTAAGTTTTGATAGTAATTGATATGTTCTTAATAGCTAGATTAGAATGCTTATTTACTTTTTCGATGACAATCATGTGTAGTTTACACTTAACTCATCAGTTTCTTTTTTTCTTTTCTTTATGTTGTTGTTGAGTACAGTCGCTTACATGTCTCAAGGAAATGGATATGGGGGGATCTAAAGAATTGAAAGAAATGCCAGATCTTTCGAGGGCCACCAATCTAGAGAATCTAGGTCTACGGGGTTGCTCAAGTTTAGTGGAGCTTCCTTCCTCTATACGAAATCTCAATAAACTGACTCAGTTGGACATGTCTGCATGCACAAATCTTGAGATTCTTCCGACTGGAATGAACCTTGAATTTCTCAACCGCCTCAATCTCGATGGGTGCTCGCGCTTGAGGACTTTTCCTGTTATCTCAAGAAACATTTCCGAGCTCATTCTGAACAAAACATCCATTGAAGATTTCCCTTCTAATTTTCATCTAGAGAATCTTACTCTGCTTTCCATGAATGGCATAAAGAGTGAGAAACTATGGGCAGGAGAGCAGGTACCTAGTTCTATAAACTGACACTTTC